CCGGGGAACCGCGCGCGCCGGCCTGGTGCCGTCGGAGCGAGCGCCAGCGCGCGGGCGGAGGGAGGAGCGCGCGGCAGCGGGGAGCGCAGCGTCTCGGGAACGCTTTCCGCGGAAGTGCGACGTGCACACTAAAACCTCGGCAGCACAGGTTGGGGGCGGTAGAGCGTGTGGGGACACGGCTCCCCGCCCGAGCATAAGTAGATGAAAATGCAGAGCAAGCACCCGGGCACCCCGCACAGAGGAAGAACTGCGCGGAGAAGGGCAGAAGGGCGGGCAGTTTATCACGCGGGGGCTTCTGACCTGGACCGCGCCGAGGATTGGGCTTTTAAAGGGAAAGAAAGCAGGGATGCACAAGGCAGATCCCTGGGCTGGGGATATAGCTCAGTGGTATAAGCTCCTACCTGGCAAGCGCAAGGTCCAGAGTTTGATCCCGAGTTTGATCACCGGTACCGCAAAAAAAAAACAAAAGGCAGATCCCACGCACATGGTTGTAGGGCTGGGTGACATCATGGTTGCTGGAGGAGTTTAAGCAGTTCAGGTCACATCACAAAGCCAGCAGTTATACAAGGCTTGGTTTGTACAAAGGGAAAAAGGTGCTGTTACAGTTAAGCTACATTGCAAGGCCATCAGTTACACAAAGGCAGTAAAGACGGGGGTTTACATAAAGGAAGAAATGATCTGTTATTGGACCTGCTGGACTTGTCCACCTCGTTCCAGCGGGCATTCTTGGCAGGCCTTCATTTAAAAATTTAACTCCCCCTTTAACGCACTCTTGAAATTGCGGCGCTGTGAAGGCTGAGATAGAAGGATCAATCGTGAGTTCGAGGCCAGCCTAGGTAGATAGTGAATTTAAGGCCCGGCTAAGACACATCGTGAGACCCTGTCTCAAAAAAATGAAAATGAGCACGTCACAATCTGCTGTGCATGGTGGCACACATCTGTAGTACCAGGAGTGGGGAGGCTAAGGCAGGAAGATGGCAAGTTCCAGGCCTTCATGGGCTACATAGCCAGGCCTTGTCTCAAAAACAAACAAACAACAACAACAACAAAAAAAAAAAAAAACCACCTACAGTCAGTCATACTTTCTAAGAATAATTTTGGTGTGGTTTGTTTGGTTCGTTGGTTAGCTTTGGTTTTTTGAAACGGGTCTCACTATGTACTTCAGCCTGGTTTTGAGCTCACTATGTAGCTCAGGCTGCCTTCAAACTTGTGGTTAACCTCCTGCCTCAGCCTCCTGAGAGTGCTGGGATTACAGGTGTGCACCACCACACCTGGCTGTTTTGTTTTGTTTTGGGTTGGGTTGGGTTGGAGTTTTTTTGTTTTGTTAGTTGACATTTCCGTACAATTTTTTTAACTAAAATATGGAACACTTCACGAATTTGCATGTTATCCTTGCACAGGGGTTGTATCATTCCAATTTTAATATATGTGCTGCCCAAGCAAGTACTGTTTTGTTTTTATGAGGGTTTTGTTCATTTTTATTTTTTCAATACTGGGGATTGAACCCAGGTCCTTTACACTGAGCTCCATGCCCAGCCCATTCTGTACTTTTTATTTTGAGTAAGGGTCTCACTAAGTCACCAAATTGCCCAGGCTGGATTAGAGATCATCCTGCCTCAACCTACCAGAGTGCCAGAGTTACAGATATGCACCATCATACTCGTCTTTTCTTTTTTTGTTTTTTGTTTTTTGTCTTTTTGAGACAAGGTCTCACTATGCAGTTCAGGCTGGCCTTGAGCTCACTCTGCAGCCCAGGCCGGTCTCCAGTTCACAAAGATCCTCCTGCCTCAGCCTCCCAATTGCTGGGATTACAGGCATGAACTTGTCTTGTTTCTTTGCACTAATATTCTCTTTTTTTTACTTTTTATTTTAAGAGAAAAAAAACAACAAAATTTCAAAACCAGATAATAGGAGGGTAACATTGTGTGTTGTTATCTATAAATTAGCTACTCAAAATACAAGATATTGGCATTTAATTATCCAAACAATATTAGCACAAACCTTTCCCTTCAAAGAGAAATTAGTAGTATAACTGTCTTACCTATCTTTTATATTTTTTTTTCCCTTTGCTTTTCCCTTCCTTCTTTTCTCCATTACACCATCCCAGTTTCTCTTTCCTTTTGAAGTTTCTTCCCATTTTACAATCTCTGTTGTACATTCTGGATCTTGTTTACTCTTTCAGCTTCTCAAACTAGGAAGACAATATGATGTTTACACATGTGCATCTGGTTTATTTCACTTATGAATATGGTCTTGAGTTGCATCCATTTACCTAGAAACATCTCCAGTTTATCCATTTTGACTGAATAGTACTCTATTGTATAAAAAGACCACATCTTTTTTATCCATCCCTCAACTGATGGGCATTTGAGTTGTTTTCAAGATCTAGCTGTTACAGATCATTCTGCTATAAACATGGGTGCACATCTGTCACTGTGGTAAGATGTTTTTAATTCTTCTGGGAAAATATCCAGAAGGGGAATAGCTGGGTCAAATGGGACCTCTAATCCTAGTTTGTTTTTTTTTTCTACAATTTTTTTTTATTTTAAAGAGAAAAGAACAAAAACAAAATAACAAAACCAAAGACAAAAACAAAACAACACAAAAACTGTAAAGACAATACAGAATTTCAAAACAAGATAATAGAATATCAACAATGGCTATTGTATTACTTATTGTTCTCTTCAAAGTAGTTGCTCAAATTACCAGATATATACAAGATTGATCAAACAATTAAATATTAACTTCCTTTCAATAAACTAATAGGAATTAGTACAATTATCTTAGGTATCGTGTGTGTGTGTGTGTGTGTGTGTGTGTGTGTGTGTGTGTGTATGTATATTTTCCCCATCTTTCTTTCTCCTTTCCCCCATCCCAGTTGTTCTTTCCTCTTAAGCAGTTTCTTTCCCTTTTAAATATCTATTGTACCTTTCAGTTTTATTTTCTTTCAGGTTCTTAGAGTAGGGAGACAATATGGTAATATGGTGTTTACACCTGCGGGCCTGATTTATTTCACTTACAAGTACAGTCTCTAATTGCATCCATTTACCTATAAAAGCCTCGAGTTTATCTTTTTTTTTTTGTCTTTTTATGAGATAGGGTCTCGCTATGCAGTTCAGGCTGGCCTTGAGCTCACTTTGTAGCCCAGGCTGGTCTCGAACTTGCAGTGATCCTCCTGCCTCAGCCTCCCAAGTGCTGGGATTCAGGCATGCACCACCACACCCAGCAAGTTTATCTTTCTTTATAGCTGAGTAATATTCCATTGTATAAAAATACTACATTTTTCTTATCCACTCCTCAGCTGATGGGCATTTGGGTTGCTTCCAAAATTTTGCTATGACAAATCATGCTGCTATAAACATGGGTGCACATATATCACTGTGGCATGATATTTTCAGTTCTTCTGGAAAAATACCCAGAAGGGGAGTAGCTGGGTTGAATGGGAGCTCTAATCCTAGTTTACTGAGGAATCTCCAGACTGATCTCAACAGTGGTTGCACCAGTCTACATTACCACCATCAGTGGAGAAGAGTTCCTTTGTCCCCGCAGCACCTCCAGGATTTGTTGTTGGGTTCTCTAAATTTGAGAGGTCTCTTTTTTTTTTTTTTTTTTTTAGTTCTTTATGCATTCTTGATAGTAATTCTTTCTCTGAGGAACAGCTGGCAAACAG